GAGGAAGACAGGAATGAAAGGACAGATCAGCCTCCCTTAATCTCGTAACCATCCCTCCATCTCTTAGACTACAACTCCCAGCATCCCCAACCAGCATGGGAGAGCGCAGACAGGCGATGCGGCTCATAACATGAGCAGATGCCAGGCTAGAGAAGGTTAGCCTGGCTTTGTGGTTCAGGAGTAAGACTGTCTGCTGGGAGACAGAGCGAAAAAGTAGGAAATGTAATATATTCAATACCCCCTTCAGTTTAAGCAGTAAGAAAAATGTTCTCTTGAGCCAGGAGACACTGGTGATTAATCCTTTTCCTCAACCCTCTCCCCAATTACGTATCTGAAAACCAAAGCACAGATAACACTTTTTAAAAACTCACAATCCCGCTGGCACATTCTTTCAGTAACGGAGATATGAGCGATTAACAATCCCATACAAACTGTAAAAGCAGCTGTGGGGCCAGCAGAACATCCGCCTGGTAAATATGAAATGAACTTAAGTATTTAACCAAGTTCAAACACCGCCTCTCAGATTTTCCTTTTGATCTCCCTTCACAAGAATGCCTGCTTATCTGCCCTGCAGTGGAAAAAGATCCAGTACTGGATGGATGAATCTGCCATCGCCACAATTTCAAAGGGATGAATAACTTGTCGTGCAATTATAGCACCATTTTCATCACAAAAATGGTACTGAGGAGGACAAGCATGGCCCCAATTAAATGTGGGCCACTTGTGAATACTTTTTAAATTGGTTGGTGGGTTGAAGTGACACCCAGCTTCAAGGCAATATTTGAACTGGAGACATCCTCGAACACAAGGGTGCCTCTTTTTTTTAAGTGCAAAAAGCCTGGTAAATTTGCAATCAGGTACTGAAGACAGCAATGGAGAGCCAGTTTGGGGGAGTGGTGAAGGCATCAGGCTAGAAACGGGGAGACCGGGAGTTCTAGTCCTGCCTTAGGCATGAAGCCAGCTGGGTGACCTTGGGCCAGTCCCTCTCAGCCCTGGGAAGAAGAAGGCCAGGGCAAACCCCTTCTGAAATCTTGCTAAGAAAACTTCAGGGACTGGTCCAGGGACTTGCCAGGAGTCAACACTGACTTGAAGGCGCAAAGCAAACAACTGAAGACTGCAGAGAAAAGTCGAAATTGTAATTACAGTGTTCCAAAGCCAACTGGTTCTTCCTAGGTGTGCACTCAACCTCCTTCTCATCTAGCTGTACCTGGAAGACCTTTGATTTTACAATTGTCAGGGGTGCACAGCCTTCAAGCGGAAGGGAGTATACATACCGAAAGCAGGTGGGAATGACACGTAGGAATCCTGCTCGTGTACAAGAAGCAGCGCCCAACAAGATGTGGCAGCAAGATGATGCCCCGCTTTTCCAAAAATGCTCTTTTGGAATCAGAGAGGTGGTCGTGGAGAGAGAATTGGGGGGAAAGACCATTTTCACCAAAGCAGAAATGCAGCTGTATCATCCGCAGCAAATACATACTTCTTTGTCCGCAAACAAAGGTATTAAAAAGGAAAAGAAGTCAAGAGGTGCTACATTCAAAAAGGAATTCCAAGGTCAAAAGCCACCGAGCCCTTCCAAACAAGCAAGTCCATTTCTGCACAAATTTTTGCAACCATCTTGGAGCATCTGCCCACCTCATCCGCTCCCTCATCCCAGCTCCTTTCTCTCTAGGACTTCTTGAGGGCCATTCATCTTTCCAAGATGGGCTGTATTCCAACTCCTATCACCCCCAGCTGGCTCCTTCAGAGGTAGGTGTCTGTCGTTCAGCTCCACTAATTTGCAAGCTGATTAGAAATTACAGTGGGTTTGGAACTCAGTCGCAGATTCTAATTTTGTTGGGTGCTGGTCCCAGCCATACAGACTGGCCATTTTAAAAACCAGCATTTGAGATACATGGGAAATGGGTCACTGTGTCCTCAGGAAAGGAAGATCTCCATCTATTAGCTTGTGGCTTTATTGATCCTTTTTTCCCCCATATCTTTTGAACGTATGCCTGCAAATCTTACCCAACGACTCTCCTCCATTAACACTAGAAACTGAGCGGCTCCTTTTCCATTAGCCAAGGGTGCAGTGTTTTATTTACTAGAGGCCTGGTCCCTTGGGAACAGTGGGTCAGGCAAAACAGTCAAATGGTTTGTTCAATATAACCATCCCGCCCGAGATGGATTAAGTGCTCTGTCCAATGAGCAAAACATAAGGCAATCGGGCAAAGGCAAAGGGACTGGATCATGGAATCTTGGTGGGCAAAGGAGGTAGGAGATCAAAGGTGGAATGGAGGATCCACCAGGAAGGGTTGCAAACTGTACCTCACCACCCCCAATTGCAGGAATCTCTTCCTAGACCCACCTCTTTCTAGTCTCAGAACAGAGATGGATGGATGGATGGATGGATGGATGGATGGATGGATGGATGGATGGATGGATGGATAGAAGGAAGGAAGGAAGGAAGGAGGAAGAGAGAGAGAGAGAGAGAGAGAGAGAGAGAGAGAGT